TATACCGATATGCTCTGAGTCTTGTCGAGCATCGCCATGCGAAAACGCCTCAACTTTAAACCCTAATGTCCTGATATGTACCTACTGAAAGAGCATCTCTATAGACGACGTCACAGGTCATCAAAAGCATGATAGATATCCTTTATTACGTTCTTGCTGCGAACATTCAGCGCCTTTGATGATGGGGCAAGTCTGAATATGGAGAGTTAGTTGTGATACTCACCTGCCCCTTAATCATGAGAAAACGGGTAAACTCTCTCACTTATGCGATCTACTAATCATTGAAAAAAATGTTTTTGTCAAAACGATTATATGTTTTTCGTAAATTAATTGTTCAGTTGCTGAACAATTTTTATTTATATGAATATATGAAAACAAAAAATCTGAATGAATGATTCCTGATTTTCGTGATTCATTCTGGACCACTTTTTGGAACTATAACAAATCTTGCGCGATATGATGTAACTGCTGCGCAATCAATAAAATGCTTTTATGCCTTAAGGGTTGTGAAACTTGCTACGATATATGGTCCAAAATTGTCAATATTCTGGATTATGATGCATTACGACAGCTTAATCAATATCTGTACATCAGGAACAATACGACTTTGTCGTTAATGGGAAAGTGGTTCAATACCATGGTCGTTCAGCCTCATTACAACACAAAATATCCGGCCGTTGATTCTCTTACTGGCCACCGGAAAGGGAACACTATGGCAAAATCTGTATAGTCGCAGGAATCCGGGGCCACTGTGACGGTCTCAGAAAGATCTCAACGTTTTGGTATGCACGACGTGACTGTTTTGCATTCAGCAAATAAATACTTGTTGCACACAGGTATTTGTAACCATCGCTCATTCCGCTAATTGGAACAACAAAATTACACATGGAGTCCTTTGACTTTTTACATTACATGACCGAAATTTCTGATTTAATGAAAAGAGAAATTAGGCGGTTTAAAACGACGTTAATTTTAGATTTGTTATACAGATTCGACAGGCATTTACTCGCTCAAGGAACGGGGATCAAAAACGCTGCCATGCTTATGCAAGACGTTGATTTAGCAATATGCGAGGATGACATTGACCTGGAAGTTCGATGGCAAGATTTCGTCAGCAATAGCGAGGTAATTAATATCTTGAAGCTGATCACTTATAACGAACGAAGTAGGAAACGCTACTATCTTTTAAGGATAGTGAGAGTTAAATTTTAATTCCGAGTACATCGTTGCAAAATAATATTAAATTTTACAGTTCTAACTTTTTTCTGAAGTCAATCCTGATGAACCCCCATCATGTTGGATCTCAGAGACACTAGCTTCAGAATTACGGATATTATGCCGTGACTGAGCTTCGGCGGAAGATAATCCCAGTCTATAAGCGAGTTCGCTGAGGATTTGCAACAGGTCATTTTTTGGCCTTCCCTGTGGTCTTCGTTTAGCGGGCCGATTAATTAATTTCTGTTTTGCTTTTCCTTCTGAAAGCATTCACGAATCCTGTTCCAACCATCGCAGCTACTACGTCTCAATCTTGAGAAGCAGCGGTTGGACAGCATGATTTTTTGGATCCTAACTACTCCGGACTTCGTCGACGAAGTCTCAGCTTCTTTCTTTATTGACTTATAGGAAAGTCGACAGTTTCTTCCTTAGCGTTGCATGTAAATAAACTGCTTGAATCTATTTTCAGTTTTCAGTATGAACACCAACGTGCGAACAAAATACTCAATTTTCGAATGTCTGGTTATGTGGGAACAGTGACGCCTTGGATAATAATTTGGATTTGGGCTGTAGAGCTACTGGGATCAAATCCCCATGCGAAATGTTCTAACAGTCTGCTAATTCTCTTAGCAATGAATTCATCGTAGCCAGTTACGACAAGGACATTAGGCAGTCGTTCACCTGTGAACAATAATAACGATGTTGTGTTTCCTACCGGAGCCTGTGAGACTTACGATAATTTGTCCGGCACATTCGCCTTTCGGTAATAATCGCTTTGAACTACCTGCCTAAACGGAATACGATTAGTAAGGGTTAGCCCAAGGTGTAAACGGGCAATGATTAAAGTTAATATTTGTTACATAAACTTACATGGCATAGAATTCCATATGTTCATTTTAGAAAAACCCATCGTATTTTTAATCCATTCATTTCTAATCTGGTGATCTTGTCATAGAACTTACTAAAGAAACAAGAAGAGCAACAACAGAAATATGGGAGCTTGTCTCAACGGAAATGTTCTATATCAAGCAGCTTGGATCGTTGGTTATATTGCAGAAATGCCTGTCGAAAATTTTGTCTGAAAAATTTACAACGGAACTTGATTTGCCAACGGTTTTTGGAAACATCGGAGAAATCTGCCAAGCAAACCTACATTTCTGGCTGCAATGCATTCATCCGATGCTACAGCAGTCCAGGCAAACAAAAGAATTGCTGGATCCGTCCAGAATGGAGAACTGCTTTCAAAACCTCAGTCAGATCTTCTTACCGTATGTACCGTACTGCTTGGCTCATGTCGACATGCTGCGCTATATCAGACAAAAACAGAAGGACAATGATTTGTTCAGAGAATTTCTATTGTAGGTTACTTTGCAGTGTTTCAACTTTCAAACTTGATTTTAGGCCGGTTGGCTGTCTCAAAGCCCTTGTCCAAAAACTGAAAGAAATTTATTTTATTATTTAAACATTTAAATTTACTCTTTCTATCCTTCTGCCGAATTTCTGATGCATGGCTTGTCACATGTCGAAGCACAAATATGACAAATTTCAGTTTTGGGAGGTTTCAATCACTGAGATATTGTAATATTCTGGTCAGCTGTACTGCATTTGCGTTTTCAATCGTCGCAGTTTGCAGCAAACACAAGTTGAGACTCTTCCAATGTTTCCTGTTCTATTCCATTCTATACCGTTGTTAATCTGGTTCATAATCAAATCGAGTCAGCTGTTACTGGGCGACCGAGTGGTCATTTGTTGTCTAATGAACGCCTGATCGTTATTCTTGACCACCATCAGTTAGCAACATGAGTGAGGAAGAGGTGAATCCATGACTGTCATCAACGCCTGCTACAACTCATGTAGGGTATGCCTTCTGGCCAGAGAACTCAATCTGTGCTTCGTCAGGCAGAATTGACGATCCTTAATTTCGCGTATGACGAGATCATCTATATGTCCAATGATAATTTCAATAGCTGGACAAAGAACCCGTCTCCAGCGTGTGCAGTGCTGCCATTCCACTCTTAAAATTCCTAACTTCATATGGAATGACGAAATGATTGATTGCCTCATCATGATAGCCACATTCTCAAACGGTATTCCAACTCTATCGCCACCTTAGATTATCATATTCGGTCCTGCCGTGGATCATGCAGATTCTGTTCAGAGCTTTCAACTGTTCCCGGGACAAGTAGTAGCCAGACGGCTTATGTTTGTGTTGTCAATTCAGTGTTTATTCACACGCTTAAATTCTACCACACCTTCTGCACCCATCACTGTTGTCATCAAACGTTTCCGTAATGACGTGGGTAGTGCACCATAACGATTTCCGGCAATTGAGCCTACATTACGGTAGGGAGGGGCAGATCAGAACAGAATGATTGCACGTGGTGTTGGCTGATTTTCTATATATTTCTGTCCTGCTTAAGTGCAACAGTTGTGTGGTGGGCTGCGTGCGCATATTTGAAACCTCTGGCGTCTGCTTCGAACCTTGATATATTAAAGCGTGGTAAGTAATATACGATCCTTATGATTTTTTTATGTGGGAAGTGATATAATTTTTAGGTAAGTCACAAACGGGAAGACAACACATAAAATGGTCTTTAATTAGGGACATCTGACGTTTCGTACCAAGCCCGGTCCGTCTTCACAGTACAAATGAAAACATCCTTATGATTCTTATGATTTTAGTGGATTCAGTCAAAACGTACGCTTGGCCGGCTGCACCCGACGGATCTGTTGTCAAAACCTATACAACGTCTAACGAAGTACCCGCTTCTATTTAAAGCAGTTCTTCAAAAAACGACTGATCGAAGAAAACAAGAATCGCTGCTTAAGATGGTGAGTTATATTTCATTTCATGCATCTGTAGTGATGAACGTTCCCATGACAGATCAACGCTGCCGAAAGCTTCGCAGCAATGGTAAACGTGAAGTTTTGTTGCTAACAGCAATACGATTCTTTACTGGCAGTAACTAGCCGTATAGAAAGCTATGACGCTGTAGCAACGACTAACGATGAGTTGGAAAATGTATGATGTACTGCCGACGATCCACAGAGGTCAAGTCATGTTTTCTATGCACATTAGTGCAATCTGAATTAAAGTCTGATATCATAATCTTTGGTACTCTTCTCTGCTAACTTCAGATGACGATGACAAAACAATAACAGCATAAAAACTAATATCATATTGGTCAATTTGACGCGATGTTCAGTTATGGCGCATAACTCCTCTGGAATGAGATTTCAAACCTCATATTGATCCCTTACTCGTACTTATTCCAGGTCACGCCATCAATGATATTTAAACATTGACATGAAATCTGCTTTTAAAGGAGTTATAACCCAACAAGCATATATGATTCCATATTTTTGATGTTTAGTTATGACCACATTTTACTAACTCAACAGTCGAATTTTGTAGTGTCCAAAGAATATGGATGTTGAATAGATGCGTTAACGAATTAAATATATTCTGCCTGAAGTATTTTAATAGCCAGAGTCGATACCGTGGGGATATTGAATTGTTTTTATCTTGAAGAATGCTGTTCGAATATCGTTCACAAGTGATAATAGCGGTGGCATGGAAATGAGCACATGAATCGATCAAGTGAACGAAGCAATATAAGAGCGATGGCGGAACGGAAAACTGAAGCTATCTTCCACTCAGCCTCTACCCTCGCTTGTGGTTATGAATAACGGATATTGACGGAAAGAGTGCCATGCAGGATGCGAGCGGCAGATATGAGATTCCTTCGAAAGACTGCTTGTTGGTAACTTTGGAATAAGATCCAAATCGTAGCGCTGTAAGATCCCTTTGCTTGAAATCTACTCCACTTGCAGAATGAGAGAGAGCAGCTGTAATTCTCTGGGTACGAGACGAGGATCGGAGACGAAAGACTGACTTACACAGCCAATGGACAAACTGACGGTCGGATGGACCAGATTTACTATCATCTGGTATCGTCACGAATTGAAGTCCGTACCGCTGAGAATACTTGATTGAGGGCTCTGATGCAGACGATTATAAATATTTCCTGAAGTTACTGCATTGCAACTTAACAAAACTGCAGATTTTAAAATAAATGAATGGAAGAACTTGCCATATAATCATTCCCTGTTCAAGAATAACGAGGATTAGTCACAAAACTGGCAATAACGAAAGTATTGGTTCACTCTTCACAGCAAAAAGCTTTATAGCATACTCAAAGGAGCGCGAAATCAGTCGATCGTTGGCTTTCATTGGCTTACAGACCTGAATAATTAAGAGGAAAATTGATGGATTATTGGGATTGTCACGAAACAACTTCAAGCAGGATAACAAAATAGTATGCACTTCCAATATCTTAAGAAGAGAGAGTCTTTGATGTCACGAATACATTTGAGAAGAGAAGTATGGTATATAATTAGTCAGTAGTAACTTTAATCAAAATTATGATATGGGAAGGTAGTGAGAAGTTTGCAATTATGAAAAAAAGACTTATTAATAAAGGAACATTTGGATTATTTTCTCACTGATTGTTCCACAGTAACTGCCAAATGTGCATTAAGCTTTACCTTATTAAGAAGCCTTCGTATGTCACTCGCTCTTACATATATGTTTTGCATAGTTGTGACAACATGCCATTCGTCCAACTTATGACGATTATCTAACATTAAGCTAATAAAGATGTACAGCAACATAGATTTGATGGCTCCAATGCTGGGATGTTGCTCTGGAGTTCCGCGTAGTCAAGTGATGTGCGGAGAGCTGAAGCTCAAAGAAGGATGCTCCTTACATACATACATAAGGATTCAGAAATCACGTCTGAAGTACTTTTCTAAGCACTTTCATTTTAGATGGACGTCTGCTGCATTCTTCTTGCAGACATGTTTCTCGTCTGTAAGATAGTCGGTAAAAAAGATGAAAACACGAAAATGTGGATTATTTGTCCTCCCTTTCACATTGGTTCCATATTGACAAGACAAACTTCAGAAAAAAGTACATACCTTTACCTTTACTTATGAAATTCTGCCTAATCACAACGGTAGAGAGAGTAACAAACGGGTACATGAAACGCAACAGGGTAGTTTATCAGTCAAACGATTGACGAATACCGAGGTCTTAGCACATACGTCACGGATCATGGTTTTCTTCAAGGTCAGTCTGTTTACAAAATATGGTGATTAGTTTGGTTAGTATAACTTACCGATGTTTGTATTGTGATTCCTTTGAAAATATTCAATAATTGCATATCATTAGATAGCTCTACCATGGCATTTGAACAAGTGATAAAGAGTCACACCTGACAAGGCAAAATGAAGTCAAAGAAATTGAACCCAACTCCTTCGAATTAGGTCATTTATATTTCATACTTGAACTGTGCTTGAAGTTGTTCTTGAACTTAATTGAGACCACGTCTCTGCGCAAAATTTTTGGTTGGTCATTTCCCTTGGATTACCAGTTTAAATTTATCGTTCAGCTCACTAATCCAGTGTTGCACAATCTAATATCGCATGACTAGACTAATTCACATGACGTACGATTGACAGATAGAAAATTGCATGATTCTCTTTTATACTTTCATTGCTGAGTAGTGCACACAATGGCCCCAAATCTTGTGGCCCGAATATTCGATCAGAATGATCTGCTATAAAGGCAAAGGTCCGTCAATCCTTGAGTACTACGCTGTTGCTGGAAGGAATCTACAGCTGACGAGGTGGCTGCAATCAATACCTTAAACCCATCATAAACACTTTGCTTGTTCTTTCGAACTTCGACGGTGGTTGGTTCGCTTTTAACAACGTAGATTAAAGGGTTGCGTGCCAATTCAGCAGCTCAATATATTGCTGTTTACATTCTAAAAAAGAATATTCTTAGGGGCAAAACGATTCGTGAATCCACCAGGATTTGGCTGACATTTAATTTAAACGTCCCTCATATTACAAGGCAAAAAATTGCAACTATGCATCAGATGACAAAACCAGATGAAAGGGCTTGTGACTACCATACACACTCATGTTCAAAAGACGACAAGGAGCATAAAGCATAATCTCCTTTCTTCAAGGGGAACGAAATTACTTACTATTGCACACTATTTATAACCGTCCTAATGTCAGCCAAAGCGGTAGTGACTCAAAACAAAGAAAAATGTGCTTCCTTCAATCCCTAAGTACGGAGCAGAGCCAACTTACATCCAGTATTTGCTTAGCAGAATTATGTTTAAAATTAGAGTTATTATTTTAGCCGGATTCATGTTTGTTTCATTCAACGAGTTTCACCTGCGGGCGTTTGCTTGTTCTCTTGACACCCCTTCGTTGGAAAATGCTTATAAATGGCTGGAGGCATTTCGGTTTGCAAAGGCAAGTTAATCAACTAAAGTAAATCTGATGCCATTCTCGTAAAATGCTTCACACTCGTATAGCGTATGCATTTTAATGACTGAAAAGCCGAGAAGCTGAATGACAGGAACCAAGATAAGCGTTGACCGATGGTATTATGCGATAATAACTCAAATTTAGCAATGGTCATACCTGATCGAACTTTGCTGCTGTCAGCAAGGAATTGGCCGAACGTTACACAGAAGGGATCACTCCGACACTACGCTACTGTCATCCCACGTTTGGTTATGATAAACAATCGGAATGTCACGTACACGTGTAACATTATCGATAGGTACCTCCTATAGTTAAGAAAAAAATGTGAAGGCTGTCCAAACATGAATGAAAACTCAGTCAGTCCGGTTCGATAATCACCTGCCCCTGAAGATCACAGAGAAAAACGTGTCAGACAGTGGCTCTAATGCTCCTGTCCCTGTGCCACCTACAACGGAAATAGCCAGAGTCTGAAATCGAGTCCTCAGAAACACTTCCCCGGATTTTCAGCCCGGCCGGTTGGGTAACCGCTACACTTACCTATACCATCGCAGATGTGGCTATACACCAACTCTTTCGCAGATATCTGAACTCCGAACCATGTCGAGAGGTGGTTGCCCAGCACCTCGCGTCAGAAAGTCCATGTCAACCGCTTACACCAGAGATCAACGCTGTACAACAAGTGATCACCATTCATGACCATAGGTGAGCATGGTGATGAAGATCGACTTGAACAGAGAGGGCATAGTTTTTAGACTCGCCCTGCAGCAGCCAGAGTGATTCAGGATAGTTCACCCAGAATGCTGCTGCGTGGTAACTCGAACTGTACTGACAGTTTCTTGTGTGCACAAGCATCCGTGTACCCGTATAATGATGCATTTTTCAATTGTGGTTGCTTGCATATAAAAAAACAATCATATGCTATTATTGCTGATGCCGCTAATGCAGTTCTTTTTATTCAAGCCGTTCTATTAGTCTCTGTCTTCCTCGACAAGGTCTTTGAAATCGCCCCCTCCGCCCCCCTCCCCTCCCCCACCCAAGTTTAATGGATTCCATAGTCGGTACTTCGCTCAGTGTATCTTCTACTTCCTCTAGGAAAGACTCGTATTCTTTTTCTGAATAGAGCAGAGACCTTGAACAACGCCGATGCATTATTCTGTTACAACTTCAGTTGGAGGATTGCCACTCCAAAGCTGGCAGGCTTCCATTCAGTGACTCTGTCAGCTAGGTTGAGCTCTACTGGAATATTGACACTAGCTTGAGCATTTGCCGTGATGTCGATACCTGAACAGAATGGCTTCCCCTGGAGAGGTTTAGAATTGGAAAGCCTTGGATCCTCTATGGCTAATTGCTTCGA